GGAAAGTGGCAGGTTATGCACTTTGGCAGTAAGAATGGAGGCATAAACTATTTTCTAAACAGCGAAAGGCTTTGGAAATCTGATGCACAAAGGGACTTGTATGTCCTAGTTCAGGATTGCCTTAAGGTTAACATGAAGGTTCCATTGGCAGTTACGAAGCCAAATGCAGTGTTTGTATTCATTTCAAGAGGATTAGAATGGAACAGCAGAGATGTATTGTTGTGGCTGTATAAAGCTCTGGTCAGACTGCATTTGGAATATTGTGAGCAGTTTTAGGGATGGATGTGCTGCCTTTGGAGGAGGTCGATAGAAGATTTCCAAGAATGATGCTGGGGATGAAGGGCTTGCCACATGAGGAGCAGTTATAGAGACATAGAGTCATATAGCAGGGAGACAGGCCCTTCGGCCCAAACTGGTCCAGGCCAACCAAAATGTCCATCCACGCTAACCCCATTTTCCTGCACTTGGCCCGCATGCTTCTAAACTTTTCCTATCCAAGTATTCGCCTTTTAAACGTTGTCAATGCACCAGCCTCAACTACTTCTGCTGGCAGCTTATTCCATATGCATACCACCCTCCCTGTTTAAAAAAAAAAGTTGCCCCTCAGGTTCCCATGCATTCTCTCCCCTCTTAACCAAAACTGGAGCTCTCCAGTCCTCAATTCCCTAACTCTGGGAGAAAAAAGACTGAGTGCATTCAGCCCATCCATGCCTCTCATGATCTTACACACTTCTACAAGATCCCCCCTCAGTCTCCTACTTTCTAAAGAAAAAAGTGCTAGCTGTCCAACCTCTCCCTCTAACTCAGTCCTTCGAGTCCTGGCAACATCCGTGTAAATTTCTTCTGCACATTTTCCAGTTTAATAACATCCTTCCAATAGCAAGGTGACCAAAACTGAACACAATACTCCAAGTGCGCCTCACCAACGTCCTGTACAACTGTAACATAACTTCCCAACTTCTGTACTCAATGCCCTGACTGATGAAAGCCAGTGTGCCAAAAGCTTTCTTCACTGCCCTATCTACCTGTGACTCCACTTTCAGAGAACCATGTACCCGAACTTCAAGGTCCCTCTGTTCCACTATACTCGTTAAGGCCCTACCATTCACCATGAAACTCCTCCTTAGGTTTGACTTTCCAAAATCCAACACACTTATCTATGTTAAGCTCCACTTGCAATTTCTGAGCTCACCTCCCCAGCTAATCAAGATCCTGCTGCAATTTCCGATAACCTTCCTCACTGTCCACGATACAGCCTATTTTACTGTCATCCACAAATTTACTAATCATGCCTTGTACATTCTCATCCAAATCATTGATATAGATAACAAACAGCAATGGGCCCAGCACTGAAGCCGGAGGCACACCACTAGTCACAGGCCTCCAGTCGACCAAGCATCCTTCCACTATTACTCTCTACTTCCTACCATCAAGCCAATTGTGTATCCAATTTGCCAGCTCTCCCTGGATTCCATGCAATCTAACCTGCCAGAGCAGCCTACCATGTGGAACCTAATCGAAGGCCTTACTGAAATCCAAAACTGAAAGAAATGTAGATTCTGTAAATCAGGAACAGAAACAGAAGTTGCTGGAAAAGCTCAGCAGGTCTGGCAGCATCTGTGAAGAAAAAAAAAAAATCATAGTTAACGTTTCGGGATTGGTGATCCTTCCTCAGAACCCTGAAATCCATACAGACTATGTCTACCATCCTGCCCTCACCAACCTTCCTGGTCACTTCATCAAAGAACTCTAAGAAATTTGTGAGGCATGATCTCCCCCACATGAAAGCCATGCTGACCACTCCTAATCAAACCCTGTCTTTCCAAATGCATGTATATCCTATCCCTCCGAATCTTCTCAAGTAACTTATCTACCACAGATGTTAAGCTTACTGGTCTATAATTCCCAGGTTTTTCTTTGCAACCCTTCTTGAATAAGGGCACAACATTCGCTAGGCTCCAGTCTTCTGGAACCTTACCTGTGGCTAACAGTAATGCAAATTCAGCCAGGGCCCCTACAATTTCTTCTCTAGCCTCTTGCAGAGTTCTTGGATATATCGAATCAGGACCAGGGGATTTATCCACCTTCGTACATTCTAATACTTCAAACATCTCCTCTACTTTGATACAGACTGTCCCCATGATATCACCATTAACTTCCCCAAGTTCCCAAGTCTTCATGTCTTTCACCACCGTTAACACAGAGGAGAAGTATTCATTGAGAACCTCACCCATCACCTACAGTTCCACACATATATGTCCACTTTGGTCCTTGGAGTCCTATTGTCTCTCTAGTTATTCTTTTTCCTTTAATAAACGTGATGAATCTCTTTGGACTCACCCTAATCTTCTCGTACCCCCTTTTGTCTTCTTGATTTCCTTCTTCAGTAAACTCCTGTATCCTCTATATATCTCCAAGGATTTCCTTGATCCCAGCTGCCTGTACCTGAGCTGCCTCCTTTTTTCTGGTCAAAGCCTTTATATCTTTTTCATCCAGGGTTTCCTACTTCTGCCAACCTTGCCCTTCACCCTCACAGGAACATATAGACCTTGAACTCTAGGTCTCACACTTTTAAAGGCCTCCCACATGCCAGAAGTCCCTTTGCCTGCAAACAAACTACTCCAATCAACCCCTGCAAGCTCCTGTCTAATTCCATCAAAATTTGCATTGCCCCAAATTAGAACTAGACCTTGTGGACCAGTTTTGTCATTCTCCATATCTATTTTAAAATTAATAGAACTATGGTCACTTGTCCCAAAGCGCCTCCCCACTGTCACTTGTCCTGCCCTATTGCCCAAGAGTAGGTTGAGTTTCGCCCTTTCCCGAGTAGGACTCTCTACAGACCACTTGAGGAAACTTTCCTGAACACATTTAACAAATTCCACCCCATCTAAGCCCTTAACACAACGGCAGTACCAGTCTATGTTAGGAAAATTAAAATTCCCCACTATGACAACCCTATTGCTCCTTGCATATTAGTTCCTCTAATTCCTGTTGACTATTTGGGAGCCTATAGTACAACCCCAATAACATCACCATCCCCTTCTTATTTTTTAGGTCCACCCACAAAATATCACTGGACGATTCCTCAGTTATTTCTTTTCTGAATACTGCTGTGATACTCCCCTCAAATCAAAAATGCCACTCCTTCTCCCCTCTTTCGTCCGCCTCTGTCCTGCCTAAAGCACCTGTACCCTGGCACACTAAGCTGCCAGTCCTGACCCTCCCTTAGCCATGTTTCTGTAATGGCTATAATATCTTAAGACTGTGTACCTATTTACACTGCGAGTTCATCAGTCTTACCTGTCAGCCCTCTTGCATTGAAATAGATGCAATTTAATCCAACAAGCAGTCCTTGCTCCTGTCCTGTTCCAGCCTGACCTGTCTCTTCAACTTGCTATTTCTGATTACTGTTTCTCCTTCCAGTCTCGCACCTGACATCGTGCTGTTGAGGATACCATCCCATTGCCAATCAGGTGAGGACTCTGTATCTGTAAGTGATGGAGTTTAGGAGGATGGGAGGGATGATTGAAACTTACAGGATATTGAGAGGCCTGGATACAGTAGATGTGGAAAAGATGTTTCCAATCATAAGAGAGAGACAAGGGCCTGAGGGCACAGGCTCAGGGTGAAGGCACAAAACTTTAGAACTGAGATGGAGGAGGAATTTCTTCAGCCAGAAGGTGGTTTATCTGTGGAACTCGTTGCCGCAGAGGGCTGTGGAGGCCAAGTCAATGAGTGTATTTAAGACAGAGATAGCTAGGTTCTTGATTGGTAAGGGCATCAACAGGTTATAGAAGAAGGCAGGAGAAGAGGGTTGAGAAACATATCAGCCGTGATCAAACGGCAGTGCAGACTTGATGGGCCGAATGTCTTATCATCCAAATTGTACACTGCATTTTCCAGCACCAGATCTAGCAATGTCTCCTTCTTAGTTGAATCAAGGACATTGTGGACAAGAAAGTTCTCCAGAGCACATTTCATAAATTCAGATGCCATAATGTCCTATCCAATCAGAACTGCCATCCACCTTCTTTATCCCCCTCATCTTTTATCAATATTGTGTACAGTGAATATCAAATGCCCAGTCCTTAACTATTTCAAGTCTTGTTTCAATTACTGCCAGTACATGACTTCCACATGGCTATTTGCACCTGTATCTCAGGAAACGTATTTGCCACATTGAGTGTTTACATACATTTTAAGAGGTCTTGTACACAGTCGTAGCATTGCTACCGCTGGACCAGAAGCTCCAGATTCAAGTCACATGTCAAGATTTGTTTGCCATGCTTGTAACGTGGTCAAACATGCTGATAATCAGCATGTAAAAACCTTCCAATATGCTTGATGGCTCATGGTAAAAGCAAAAGTGTCTCCTGGTAAGCCATCCTGCAGAAGTCAATGGCCCAACCCTTGGAAACAGGGATAGAAAACAAAGGAATGGACAAATGTATGATCTGATTCTGTCCTTTTTAATACTACATGGCATAATTTGAGAAAATTAATGTGTGTCAACGACACAACGAAGGGTGCAGAGACTAGAGAAAGCACAAATAAACGCATTGCTTTCTTGTGCATAAAGAATGGTGCCCTTAACAATGTATTGAAAGAAACTAACGGCAAACCACTATTGTTTTATAAGAAATTGCCAAGACACGGGGATTAGATCACATTTGAAAGTAATATAAAATGCAGATGATGATCTGGCAGATGTGGAGGCTAATGAGGTGGAAACTGAGCACAACAGTCGTGTTATTGTTGAGAAAGCGAAATGTTTGATGTATCATAAACACACTGAAAGGCCCTGTTAATCAGACAAGAGATAGCATTTTGAAGCACAGTATCTGATTGTACATGAATCACAATCTGAGGAAGTGATCCACTATAAATAATGCAGACAAAAACTTCAAAGTTGGCTCAATAAGGTCATTCATGTCTTTTCCTCAATTATAGTAGACAGATTTTCTAAAAACAAAATTAACTCATCAGAAATATCTTACCGTGCATACTATGTTTCGAGTCAGACAATAGTCTCACAAGTGCCCAGAAGGCATCTTCTTCATTCAGATACATAAGAAGCAGTGCAGTGATCTGACTCATTCCCTGGCAGTAACCCACTTCCTGGAATTGAATAAAATGAAAAAAGGGTAAGCTAGTTACTTAGAGGGAATTTATTCATTACCTTTTAAGGAAATTAATGAGGTTTGGATGTTTAAATTATAAAATTTTATTTGGAATTACATCATTCATAACCATTTATGAAATATATACATTAAGAAAGGGAACCAATGTAAAGGGAACAGCTGTTAATTTCCTTTTCAAGTCTAATACATACTATAATCAAGGCATCAGAAAATTCAGCAGTTTGCAAAACTTGTTTCTGCATACAATGTAATAGAGGTACCAGAAGTGTTACTGGCTGTCAAAATGTGAACTTCTGCTAAAGGATAGCAGTGCATAAACAAATAACATCCTGCTCCTCTGATGCTGCTTGGCCTGCTGTGTTCATGCAGCTCTACACCTTGTTATCTCAGATTCTCCAGCATCTGCAGTTCCTACTATCTCTGAAACATAGTTACACAACTAGATTTACAAAGAGTGTTACATTTAACTATTGGAAAAGATACCAAATTAGTGTCAGGTAATTTAACAAATAAAGGAAGGCAAAGAAAACCTATAATACTACATTACTGAAGCACATAAAAAAGAAACAGCATTGTACTCAATAATCAAAAACAAAAGAAACATAAGGATAACAGTAGCATCATTAAGGGAGCCATATATGACAAACTCATAGATAATTATAGCAAAATGGCAGAAATAATCATTTTATCTCAGCATTCACTTGTCCATCAAACATGGCTGAAGTGGCGTTAGCAAAAATTCAAAATGATACAAAGACATTTCAGGTAGGAAACAGGGTTAATTGGTAAACCACAGCTCATACTGGGGTCGGAGGGGCAACATATTAGCATGGCGATTGGCTGGCTAACAGGAAGTACAAAGTTGGTATAAATCGGTCTTTTTCAGGTTGCTTGAAACAAGTGGTGTGAGAGAGATATCTGCACTGAGACCTCAACACTTTACAATTATTTTACTTGGATGAAGGGAGCGAAGGTATAGTCGCTAAATTTGCTTATGATAAATCAATTGGATGAAAGTTGTGAAGGAGTCTGGCACATGGAGTATAACGCGGGAGAATGCAAAATTGTTCACTTTAGCAGGAAGAATAAAAAATAATTACCCGAAAGGGGAGAGATTGCAGAGCTCTGAGATGCAGTTGGATCTGTATATCCTAAAGCATGAATCGCAAAAGACTAATATGCAAGTACAGAAAAGTAATTCATAATTCCCATAGAATGTTATCATCGATTGCAAGAAAAATTAAATCTGAAAGTAGAGAGGCTATACTTCAATTATACAGGGCACTGGTGAAAACACATCTGAAGTATTGTATAGCAGGTAGTTCTGTTATAATGTGTTTCGTTAACGTGAATTGGCTGTAACATGATTGATGAATAGTGGACGCTGTTTGGATAACGCAAACTTTCTGCCAAACAGATATAGCGATTTCCAATGGCAATTTCCTATAGCGCGAGGTCATGCAAGAAAGCAACTATCATGTTATAGGAGAACTATTTGTAACTGGAGACCTCGTTTAAGGAAGGATGTAGATACTTTGGAAACAGCAGAGAGGTTTTCTAGATCAATATCTGAAATGGGTGAATTGTCTTGTGAGGATAAGTTTTACAGACCAGACTTGTATCTGCAGGACTTTAGAAAATTAAGACTTGATTTAAACATACAAAATCCTGAGGGGTCGTGACAAGGCAGATGTGCAAAGGGTGTTTCTTCTCACGGGAGAATCTATTAGTAGCAGTCACTGTTTAAAAATCAAAGGTTGCCCATTTAAAACAAATTGAACTAAATTTTCTCTCAGATAAATTTCAAATTCTTTGTAACTATCTTTCTGAAAACACAGTGAAAGCAGGATCTTTCAATATTGTTAAGGCTGAGGTAGATGATTTTTGGCAAAGAAGGGATGAAAGATTAGTGTAGGTGGAAAAATGGATTTACAAATCAGTCAGCCATGGTCTTATTAAACAGTGGAGAAAGCTCGAGGAGCCAAATGGTCTATTCTGGCTCCTTGTTGGTATATTCACATATAATTAAGACTAATGAGATTAAAATCTCTTGTTTGGAGAATTGTATCAACACAAATTCAAAGTAGTTAGGAGAAAGATGCCAATGCACTGGTACGCATATATAAAATTCATCGAGAAAGGGAATAGTAGTAGATGGAGGGACAGATGATAGATTCACACAGACAAAAGAATGAAATGATCCACTAATAGCTTGGTAAAGTTGCCATAGTCCTACTGGCCACAGGGCTGCTCCCTCAATAGAGACCACTGATGGTAGTTTAACTTGAGGGTCACCATGCCTCAGCTGAGGAGAGAGGTTGAAGAAAAAAAAAGCCCTTCATGGTAACCTCAGCCAATGGCAGGGAAGATAATGGAATTTCCAATCCAAGGTGCTGCAGAAAAATGTTTAGAAATTGAGAAACAGCTTGAGAAACAAAGGGGAGCACCGGCTTGATGAACCTTCATGAAGTCTTTAAATCAAGAAAGGAAAACAAAGGGAACACTGCAGACATAATGTATTTAGATTTCCAAAAAGTCAAGGAGCTATATAATGGATTAATAACCAAGTCAAAGCACAAGGAATCAGAGGACAAACTGAATAGAAAGCTGGTTCCAAAACTGAGAATTAGGTTTAAACTTAGTTACTCAGATTGACAAATGGTCCCAAGTGGTGATCCATATGGAATGGTGCTGCGATCACTATTGTTCACTATTTGGTTAAATGACTTGGGCTCATAAAACAGAAGCACAATTTCAAAATTTGTACACTATCAAAATATGTGATATAGTTATAAAGGAAGACATGAATAAATTGGCAGAATAGATACATAACTGACAAATGAACTTCAACGCAGATTAGACCGTAAAACAATATGAAATAAGAATGGAAGTAGCCTGTTCAGCTCCTCGAGCCTGCTCTGCCATTCAACAGGATCATGGCAGATCCTGATATTCTTCATGCCTGACCTTTCTCCCACTACTAATCAAGAATTTATCTATCTCAGACTTAAATGTATACATGGACTCTGCTCCCCACAGCTCTCTGTGATAAGTAATATCAAAGACTCTCAAACCTCAGAAGAATTTTCTCCTTGTCTTAGTCTTAAATTGGTGCCCTTTATTCTGAGACTCCACCCTCTGGTCCTAGTCACTCCCATGAGGAAAAACATTGTCAGCATTTATCCTGTCAAGCCCCTTAAGAATTCTACATGTTTCATTGAGATCATCTCTCATTCTTCTACACTCCAGTAAACAGAGTCCTAACCTGTTTAGCCTTTGCTCATAAGGCAATCTCTCCATACTGGAGAACATCCTAGTGAACATTCTCTGAACTCCCTCCGATGTAATGACATCTTTCCTTCAGTAAGGGGTCCAAAACTGCTCACAGTACTCCGGATGTGGTCTCATCAGCACTTTGTACAATATAGTAAGACTTCCCTACTCTTATACTCCAATCCCTTGAAATAAGGGTCAATGTTCCATTAGTCTTCCTAATTACTTAGGTGCTAGGTTATGGAGAGGTAAAAACATTTTGGTAGGAATAAGATGTAAGCAACAAACACGTGTCAGATGCACAAACCCTGTAGTAGTGGTGACACAGGTCATAAAAAAAAGGTGATTTAAAAAAAAGAGGCAACAAAGGGCTGCAGCTTATTTCTGGAGAGACTGATCTATAACAAAGTGATGCTAAACTTATGTAATTATACCATTTATTACACAGTGAACAGTTTGGCCTCTATAAAAAAAGGATTTGCACCTATGGCTACTATTAAAGGTGAAAAAGAATTATAACAATGGCAGAATTGAGCCCAAGGGAAACTGCAGGCTGGGGATTATTCTATGAGAGACAGGGTAAAGTGATTACATTTGTTCAAAATTATGAAAAAGTTTGATATAATACATAGAGCTGGTTCTTCCACTTGCAAAGGAGGCCAGAGTTGGAGCCAAATAAATAGTCAGTAACAAAAAAAGTGCACATTTCATGAGAAACCTGGTTAGCAAAAACTGCAGCTAAGATGTGGAATACCTTTTGCCTAATCACTCCCAAACTGGTGAAACATGAATGTATTAATACAAATAACATAGATATATTTAAGGGAAAGATGGAGTAAAGGATTGTTGAGCTTTCATTGAGGATTGAAGTGGAAAATGAAGAGGCTTGTGCACAGCATAAATATGTACATGGATCTGTTAGGCTGAAGGAGGTCCTTATGAGCTAGAAGTGCCTTGCTGAGGTTCACTTACTACATATTTGCAAAGTTATTGAACAAAATGGATTAGAATCCAGACGATTCTGTCTCATCATCACTCCACAAAACAAATGTCGGTGACATGTTTTAATGCATGATTACTGAAGAAAAAAAATATCGAAGAATCTTATGTTCACAATGAATATCCACCTGGCAGCATTAAATTCTTTCAAAAAAGATGAAATGCTAAAAAAGACTTAAAGAAAGGTTTTCCTTCAAATATCCTTCACACTGAATTATTCCCTCCCTGACACCACCCATTGTTTCAAAATCAGGCATTTCAACAATCACTTTATTATAACTGTGCATTACAAAAATCATCTTTATTGGTTTCATAACAAAAGCATTTTACATTTCATATTTTTCAGAAAATCAATACGAACCAGAAAAGCAACAACAGCTTTGAAATCTCATCTAAAATACAGGCTACAAAAAACATACCGTGTTATACATGGAATAAGCAGCTAAAACATGGAACAAAGCTTGCTGCCTGCAGAAGAGAAATGTAAAGAAATTACTTATGAATTTTGATCTGTGCCATATTGAATATAAACATATTGATTCAGAACATCTTCCTCAATTCTAAAGGCAGGTGTTTTGTGCATGTAAATGCTCCAGTGGCTGAATAAAGAAGCAAAATGCTACTCTTGAGATCTACAGGAGACAAATATAGGTCCTGAACAGCTAATATTCAAATTTCATCATTTTGATTGTATCCAGCATAGCAATCAGGAGAAGATATTAATTTTCTCTGAAGGTTTCCGTCCTGAAAGAGGGCTAGTTATTGAATCTAACCTATGGATAGGCTTTGTGAACAGTTTACACGGAGGAAGATCCTTTACAAGCATCTTAAAATCTATCACCAACATCATGGCATCTCTTCTATTTGTTGGCTAACAATACCATATCATATTTCTTATTTCTTAAAGCAGTCTTGGACAATATATTTCACTACTGGCTCCAATCAGCTTTCCACTATATTGTTCCATCTTTGATGCCACTATCACATGGCTTCACTCAGATCATTAGTATTCCTGGATGTAGATCCTCATGTCTAGAGATTCCCCAAAAACATTAATTTGGAGTATAACATTATTAACCACCAAATGACACATTAAATAAACACAATATCCAAATTCATATATGTAGCCAAGATAGCATAGCAGATATTTAGGATTGAATAAAGCTCAGACAATATATCAGTATGTGAAATTTCAGGTGTACTTTTAACATCTTACACTTATTGTATAAGACTTTTAACATACTGAAACAATGAAACAGAAGATGTTTCATAAGGGTACTATAAAGCAAAGTATAACATGAATCACACAGTAGATGTTAGATTAGATGTCCAAAAACTAGATTAAAATGGTAAGTTTTAAAAACTGTCTTAAAGAAAAGCAAGATGGAGAAGTAGAGAGAGTAGAGTGGGGAGGAATTCCAAAGATTGGGGTCCAGATAACTTAACACACAGCCACCAATGATGCAGAATTTATGACTGGGAACGCACAAGTAGTATATTCTAAGGTCTTCAGGTGAGTGCAGAGATAGCGAGGGTAAGGCCATGAAAACATTTGAAAACTAGAATGAGCATTTTAAAATCACGGCCCTGTTTGACTGGGAGTCAATTGAGATCAGTGATCAAAAAGTTGGTAGAAAAGGACTTACAGTGGGTTAATTTACGTACAGTAGGGTTTTGAATGACATCAAGTTTACAAAGGGCAGAGTGAGAGAGACCAGCCAGAGTGTGTTGGAATATTCAAGTTTAGAGGTAACGGAGGTGAAGATTTCAGCAGTAGGTGAACATAGATAGGAAAATTAAACTATGCTAGAGAAGGAAAAAGGCAATATTAGGAATAACACAAATATGACATCAGAATCTCAACTCCAGAACAAATGAAACATTCAAGGTAGTGAACAGACTGGCTTAATCTCAGATCATGCAGAGTCGTGGGTGAATTTAGTAGCTTGGGAATGGAGTTTGGAGTGGGCACAGAAAAAATGGCTTCAGTCCTACCAATATTTAATTAGTGGAAATTTCTGCTCATCCAGTACTGCATGCCAGAGAAAGAGTTTACTAATTTAGCAACAATGGAGGAGTCTGGAGAGTTAGTAATGAGGTAGAGCCAGGTGTCTTCAATTGAATGAAAGAAAACATGAGGCTGCATGTAGATGAGAAGCAGGAGGACAGTTTGAAAATAAGGATTGATCCTGTGACAGGTGAGGTAGTGCAGCAAGAGGAGAAGCCATTGTGACCAATTCTCCGGCTACAACTAGACAGATAAGAATGGAACCACATGACAGCAATACCACCAAGCTGGGCATCAGTGGAGAAATGGTCAAAGTGAATACTTATGTTAAAGGAATATAAGTTGAGTATGGCAAGGAAGGAAATTTGACTTTTGTCACAGTAATGCAGTATGTCATTTATGACTTTGATAAGAGCTGTTTTGGTGCATGGCAGGCAAAAACCTAATTAGAGGGACTAAAACAAAGCCCAAGGAGGAAGTAAACCGATTTGGGAGATGACACAGATTCAAAAGACTATGGAGAGGAATCAGAGGTTGGAGATGGGACGTCAGTTTGCAAGGACATGAGGTCAAGGGTAATCTTTGTTCTTAGGAGAATGGTGATGACAGCAGACTTAAACGAAAGAGGTACAGCAACTGATAAGAAAGAACTGGCTAACACGGAGATCAGTAGAGGAAGTTGGATAATCAGCACTTCGTGGGAGCAGGATCAAAGGAACAGAGTTCAAAAGAAGAGTCACTGGACTCTAACTATTCACAATTTTTTTCTTGACAGGTACAACTAGACCTGCTGAGTTTCTCCAGCACTTTTTGTTTTTATTTGAGCAATCAGAAGATGGATTATGGACAAGATAAGCTGAGGGCATGAGGCGAGATAAGGGGAAAACAAGAGAAACATGACAGTTTAGGGCCAGGCCAAGAGCATTACAAGGAAGATTTTACAGGTGAGGTAGCAGAATCTGGTCAGAGGCGAGACAGCTCATTGGGTGGTCTTGATCTCAATGATGAAGTAGTTTATCAGCTTCTTGTATGTGCTGTTGGAGATAAGGAATGCAGGGACAGGGGTTTAAAAAGATGGTCTGCAATTGAGGAAAAAGAAAGCTAGGGATTATCCTTGCATTCCAGGAATATCCTAGAATAGTGAGCAGTTTTCACTGTTAAGAAGATGCGGTAGCATTTTATGTAGTCCAGACAGGTCTTGTGATGTATAGCTAAACCATATCTTTTCACACCCAAGAGCTGTGATGAAAGCCGTAATGGGGGAAAACAGGCAGCGTGAGAGAGAAAAGTAAATGGGAACTAGGACGAAAGCAGGAGGTGTTGCTGTGAAGACGTGATTGAGAAATCAATATTTGCAGAGACATTGTGACAAATGGAGGGCCAAAGGCAAGATTTTTGGTATTTTGCAAGTCCAGTTGTAAACGAATTGGGGAAATAGATTTTTTCCAGGGATGAATACAAAAGTTAGGATAAGGGATAGAATGGAGACAGAGTGGTGAACAATACAAGGAAACGGTCTTTTCTAAGATTAAAACCAAATGAGATGGCAAAGAGAAGGGGATGGCCATGAATATGATATAGGGAGTTTAAACAATGGGAGTGATTTAGGGAGATTGAGAAAGCAGTAAACTTGATGTTTTCATGAATTTTTAAGAGTTTTACTAAGTTTCCAGTTCAGTGTGTATGAAGCAAAAAACAAAGCTTACTGCTAACATAGTGAACAATTTCATATCACCTTTACTTTTAGAAGGGAAGATTCAGAGCTGCCTCATGCATGGTAAATTTGCAAAGAACTGATAAATTCAAGTGAGTTAGGGATTTGCGTATACCACTTGAGTAATAGCAAAAAAAGAAAGCTGATTTAGCATAACCAAAAGACAGTATAATTTTGAATGCAGTGCTAATCTCAATTTCATTATATATTGTGTACACAGATGAGCCTTTTCAGAATTGTTAGAATTCACTTAGAATTTACATCTATAATTAATCTTGGCATCAAAGTCAAATTTAATCTGATATTTCATAAAAACAGCATGTTAATTATTTTAGTGAAAGACTAGCATAATAATTCAGAAGGAAGAGAGAATAAGGCTATCAACCAATTGGAATAGGAAGTTTTACTGATAAATATATAATTTCATCCTAACACTGAAAAATTGAATTCAACCAGCCTCAATTTAACACATATTAAATTTTCACGATTCATCACTGCAAAAAATAGCATTAAATCACATGATTCACACTAAAGTAATACATTACCAAGTTCTCAAGAGTCAATTGGGACGAGCAACAAATGCTGTCCTCAGAACAACCAGATCCAGAAAATAAACACATTGCAAAAAAAAACAGCAGCCAAAATTGATCAACCTGGTACGTTGCACTTCGAAGTCATTTTCATGGCTCTACAACAGATTTTACTCTGAGGTACTAACATGCCAAGGAAATTGGCATCATTATCTCTGCCACTGAAGCTGCTGTGGTACAATTTATCACAGTTGTCAAAATGTGAGCAGAAGTTTCAGAGCAGGTTGCTAATTACAGACATTTCTTTTCTGAGCTTTGTAATTAAAGGACAATCACCAGGGAGGGGAAAGTATCAAGGAAGAGCTGCATAATGAAAATAATGTTGAGGTAACTCAAATGTGGCAGTTGCATGTGCACTATAGTGTCCTCATGCTCATTTAATTACTGCATTTTTCTTTTGAAAACCATGTGTTTTCCTAATTTCTTATTGAGTTTCAATGCTAGAAAAAGAATATAAAGACATTACATAGAGGAATTGTGCAAAAGAAGATCACATGGGCCTGCAACTGCTTTGTAGATCAACTATACATTTCAGAGAAAATCTTAATGTATTAACGGAATTAAATCTCTCTCAAATGCCAATCTTGCTACGTCTTTCAATGTTGTTGCATTAAAGTCAGAATAAAATATGGCTTTAAGATCACGAAAGGTTAAAAGTGTTCAAACCTTCTTGTGTTCAAAGTGGTTTATTAATTACATTTAATAACAAACCACAGCTGAAGTATGCAACCAATAAAAATGCCTCAAAACACCAAATGTAACAGATGAAGTAGCTTTTCTTTTTTAATGCTGTCAGTGCACAGTTCAATAGTGGATATTTTATCCAATGATTTGATTCTCCAGAGAGAAACATGTACAACAAGTTTTCACACAGCTGATTGGAATCAACTACAGATGCTCTTATTCACATTGGCGGACTGCTCTAATCTCAAGAGGCTTGAGTTTGAAGTCTTTCATTAATTCAATCTTAAAGAAAAGTTTTAGTGGAGTATTATGTCATTTTAAAGTTCAAATTTGCAGCTATTGAGAAGATCTCACCTGAAGGAGGCTCATTAACTTGATATAATGACAATGTAAAAATATAAAATTACATGGTTTTAAAATAAGAAAAAAAAAAGTTAATGTGCAATAATCTAAAAAATGCCAAAGGTACGCT